TTGGATAATTTGCATTTACCTCTCCCTATGGATTCCCCAGGAAATCCACTTAACACTTATTGTTCCAAAATCCATACTTGTCTGGCACATTTTCAATATAGTCAAACTCCTACATCTGACATCTATGACATCTCCCCTCTAGTAGAGAGGTTGCACACAATCCTGACCTACAATAATAGATAAACTTAATACAGTGTCAACCTTACATTCCTATAGTCCTAAACCTAACGTCTGTCAAGGATATTACAGGAAATTGCCCTATCTGTCACATAGGCACAGTGATTTTGCAGTGTATACATGGCATTCCAGGAAGCTGTTGAATTTGATCCAGAAATTTCAGTGTCCATTAGTGAACTAAAAGCTTATGTTCTGGTCTGTAGAATCCAAATTAATGATTGAGAGAAAACCTGATAATTAACAGAAGCCTCATCTGTATACACCAAACATAGAAATTGGAGAGAACTTTCCTCCCATAAATGAAGAGAGAGAAAATGTAGAGGATTATCTCACCATAAAAGGAACAAGTCACCCTTTTAAAAAATATGAACCTGTTTTATCTAGAGCTCGGAACTTAATCAGTATCAGATTGCTTTCTTCGCCAACCCACAGACCTAGAGGGCATGAAAGCAAGTGTTATAAAACAGGAAAATCTCTGCTGATGTTGTAATTTGTGTTGTTGCTTGCTGACACCTGGCTGAAGAGATTTTTATGATTGACTCCACCCATTGGTCAATATATTCTTCCGTTTTTCTCTCTTCATCCTCGTTTGCTTCCTGCTAGTAAAGTTGGTGGATTAATATGTGGAGAGTATCACACAGAACATTTAACTCTCTCTTCTAGAATGTGGACACTCTGGCACTTACAATGCATTTTAATTTTATTCTGTCTCTCAGTGCCGGATACCAAAGGGTAAGTAGCACAATGCTGAGTGTACCTTCGTGTACCTATTTTGGATAATGTTAAAGGCAAATATTCATTCTGTCCTTTCAAATGAATCTTGTTATTTTAAAAATAATGCAATAATTTCCTTCTACTGAAACTTGTTTTGTTTTGGCTATTGGCCATGACAAATGTCTGGAACATGGATTCCTCCATGGCACATCTGGAGGGGAGGGACGTTGAACAAACTGTCCATAAAATTAACAGTCTCTTTTGACTGCTGTGAACATTAATCACCTGTCTGCCTGTCTTTCTAGACAGATATTTCTAAAATGCCTATCACCATGGAATTTAATTGCTATGCAACAAGTTAAAGACAGCACTGAGTGTGCTTTAAATGGCAATATTCTTTCAGCTTGCTCTTGGTCCTGGAGTTCATGGTTGGGTAACTTTGTTTGCTTTGGTTTGTCCATCTTCAGTTTCATCTTTCCTGCTTAGCTGTAAGGCAGCCTGCTTCAGGAAGCATCTTCCAGTTACCTTGTGTTTCTTTACTTCATGTGTCTCTGCTGAATAGACTAAAATGAATGCCATTATTTGTTCCTATTTCTATGGATGTCATTGCTTAGATTTTGATGGCAGGCAATTTACTGCACATCTGTGATGTATTCACTTCGGGAGAAATTCTCCACCCCACTTCAGGCCTGAATGAAGGGGCTTGAAGAAGGGGTACCATTGAGATTGGATGGAGGGAACAAAATCCTGTCTCCCACTGGCTGTAGAGCACCAGAAGAGTCAGTACAGAGCTGTTGTTGCAGCCTTAAGGTGTCTGCTGTCCATTTCTGCTTGTTCCACATTCCCATACCTATGTATGGGGTGCACAGCCAATGGAGTTATTAATTGGAAATACAGCTTCCCTGCTGCTGCCCTGCTCCATGCTGGTGCTTGGACCCCAGTTTTGGTTTTGGCCCATCTCTATCATGCACTGCGCTTTATTATTTCTGTAGCGCTGCCAGGTGTGCACGGTGCTTTATAGACAAATTGAAGGACAGGTCCCTACCTGGAGGAGCTTTCAATGTAGTTTAGGGCTGATAAACAAAGGGGGTAGGATGTGTGGGGAAGGTGCAGGAAATACAAGCATTCTAGCAATGGCCATGAGATATATTCTGGCTACGTGCACATCAAAAAGGTAGTATTTTACACCAGTTTGCATAGGTGTAAACGATGACACAATGTGCGAGGTAGTGGTGAATCAGCTGTTTATCTGAAATAAGCCTTATCCAGTTATCCCTCATCCAGATCCCAATCCTTGACCGCGAGTGGGGCACCTGTTCCCTCCCCAGTCCATGGGGACATAGAGCTGAGTATCTCCCACATAATGAAGATAACTCGCCCTATCTCTGACACAGCCTTCCAGCCTCATGACAATGAAAAAGTGAAGACACAAGGGAACCCTGTGGCCCATATATGGGGGGGCCTTTGTTCTGGCAAACAAACTAAAGCAGTGTATGTGCCAGGAAAGGGCATCGGTTCTCCTGGTGCCATCTCCCAGGAGCACCGAGGGCTCTACCTTTCCCTTTCAATGTGTGTGGTTAAAACAATTGGTTTTTTGAATGTTTTTTTAAAGTCCACAAGGATTTCACTGAGCATTTTCCTTGGCAGGGTCAGGCAAACAGATCTAACCAGTGGCTTTGGAACCTGGGATCCTGGAACAGGTATTTACCCCTCTCTCTCTCTGTCTTGTATCGTTAATGTCCCATAGAATCATAGGGTTAGAAGGGACTGCAAGGGTCATCTAGTCTCACCCCCTGCCAAGATGCAGGATTTGTTGTGGTTAAACCATCCAAGACAGATGGCGATCCAGCCTCCTTTTGAAAACCTCCAGTGAAGGAGCTTCCCCAACCTCCGTGTGCAGTTTGTTCCATTGTCCTGAGGTTTAATGTATCGGTGTTGCTCAGAAAATATTATCTTGAATCCCACTGTGTTTCAGCTTACATCACCAGATGTGATTTTAACAACAACTCAAGACCGTTTTGTGACTGGACCCAGCCCTGTAAAGTGAACCAAGGAGCCTGGATAAGAACCAAACATGCCACTCCAACCAGTGGAACAGGTCCAGATGGAGACTACCCCGATGGAAGTAGGAGCTTAATTATAACCCTGTTGATTTCCCTCTGAATGTGACATCTGCTGGGCTTTTCTTCCTTTCTTAAAAAAACGAGGTTCATTCAGCTTTTAAAAATGTTCCTTCTGCCACTAATTTGCTTTCCTATTGAGACCTGATTTTGCTAAGTGTAAGATTCTCTCACCCTGTCAATCACAGACAAATTAACCCGACTTGCCCCATAGTGGGATGGAAGTCTCTGTCAATGCAGCAAAGCAGCAAAATGCTAGATACATAATGCTGTAGACACCAAGGAGAGCGCAGACTTCACCATGTGTACAAAACATTATTCAAGGGAGGTTTGGTAGCCAGATTATATTCACATCAATTAATGGCAATAAAAGTAATGACTCTGGAGCCAGCATGGACACTACACATTATTCAGGCTGGCACAGAGGATTACAAAGATTACAAAGACTGAATTGCTAAAAATATACAGTATTTGAAAAACTGGTCATAGGTTATGTGTGATCAGAAAAGTGAGTTTGCATGTAGTCAGATCATCAAGAGACATGGCTGCTGGGGATCTATCTCTATCCATTTATTGTATGCAGTGTTGTTGTAGCTGTGTTGGTCCATTTATATCATCACTATGCAATCTGATCACTTTAAAGGGATTCAGTCTCCCAGATCTTAACTGCAGCCATATTACCTAGTGCTATTCCCTTCTCAGATGTCACAGGCTGAACAGCATCAAACCTAGTTAGTACTTGGACTAGAATAGACCCGGTTGGGAAATTATCTGTTGGAATGATTTTCTCATGAAAAATGCAGTTTTTGTACATTTTACTTTGATTTTGCTGAAAAATTTCAAATTTTTATCAGAAAAATTAAAATGAAATATTTTATTTTGGGTCAATTCAACCTGAATCAGATGATTTTGTTTTTTTGAACTGACCCAAAACGTTTAATTTTAAATCAATTAAAAAAAACAACCTTAACTACATTTCACCATGGTGAACTGTCTTATGGGAGGTGAAGTTCCACGTCCTATTCTCTCCTGTGGGCCAGGCTCCCTGGAGGACTAGTTCTCTCAAAAGGCAATGTGCTGATTTCCATCTGTCCAAGCTGCATAGTGCATCATGGGAATTACATGACTCGATGCATTATGGGAGTTGCAGTCTGGCCAGGGTACCTGGCCAATAAGTGTGATGGGGGCCAAAAATACAAGACATATAAAGCAATGTACCATAGGGAAGCAGTTTAGTGTTGAAATGAAGTGTTTTAATTTTGTAAATTTTTAAATGTTTCAGTTCAATCAAAAATGTCAAAATGAAATGTCCCAACATTTTCAAATAGAATTTTTTTGGACTATTTTGTTTCATGTAAATTTCAAAATTGCAACTTTTCATCCTGTGCCAGAATGAAAACAAATGTCGCGATTTCCTGCAGGTTGCAAAATCATAATTTTGCTCAGCTGTAGACCAGAGACCTTAATGGAGAAACTAGGTACTGAAGGAAGGAGTGTTCAGTGGTTGGCACTCTTCCCTCTTAGTCAGAACTAAACCAAGCATGGCATAATGGGGCACTATGCCATCTTTTAGAAGTGAAATAAAAGGTTTTGACCAAGTGTGATCATGAAAAATTCCATAGCACTGTTTGTAAGAGATGGGGTGTTTTAGCTCTGGTCTCCAGGTTGCATTCAGGTCTGGGTAATTGCATTCTGCCTACTAACAGCTAGAAGCAGTATTCTCTTTCATTTCTTGTCCCTATTTGTAATGTAGTGTTGCTCTGTGCTGTTAAATAGTGCCCAAAACCCACTCTAGAAATGGTTAACACTTCAATTTTAAATAATACCTGAGAAAACACAAGGATTTAGCAATTGATTTGTTCTTTTCACCCTGCAGATGGCTATTTTATTTACCAAGAAGCCAGTAACCTCATCCCATTCGACACTAACAGGATTGAGAGTCCTGAAATTGTGGTTTCTGGAGCGATATGCATAGACTTCTGGTATCACATGTTTGGGTCAGAGGACCTGAATGAGCTGAAAGTGATTGTTCAGAATGAGGGAGTGGAAGCTCTGGAGTGGAGTCAGAAGGGAAACCAGAGTTCCTCTTGGATCTATGGTTTCACCACTGTTTCTTTTCTGACTGAGACAAGGATAAAGGTAATTATACTGAGAACACACTACTTTGTACAGTATGAAAAGGCTGCCAAGTTTTGCCTTGCCCTTGCGAGCTTTAAGAGATTGTGCCAAAAATCAAGGAAATGTTGGTTACACCTTGCGATACAATGATCTTAAACAAAATGTAGTTATATTGCAATTACAGTGTAATTACAGTGCTTTTGGCCCCTCTGACTACCACTACTTCATACCATGTTAACTGTATGGCTGAGAATAACTGAGAACTGCTTGGGCACTATACAAACAAAATGATGAGGTCTAAATTAGCTGTTACCACTCAAGAAAGATTTTAGTCACTGTGACTAGTTCTCTAAAAACATCTGCTCGACGTGCAGAAGCAGTCAAAAGAGCTACCAGAATGTTAAGAACCATTAGGAAAAGAATAGAGAACAAGACAAAAAATATCATAATGCCTCGATATAAATCTGTGGTACACCCACATCTTGAATACTGTGGGCACATCTGGTTGCCTCATCTCAAAAAAGATACATTAGAATTGGAAAAGGTACAGAGAAGGGTAACTAAAATGATTAGGGGTATGGAACAGCTTCCATATGAGAAGAGATTAAAAAGACAGGGACTTTTCAGCTTAGAAAAGAGGCGACTAAGGGGGGATATGATAGAGGTCTATAAAATCTTGACTGGTGTGGAGAAAGTGAACAAAGAAGTGTTATTTACTCCTTCACCTAACACAAGAAGTAGGGGTCAGCAAACGAAATTAATAGGCAACAGGTTTAAAACAAACAAAAGGAAGTATTTCTTCACATAACACACAGTCAACCTGTGGAACTCTTTGCCAGGAGATGTTGGGAAGGCCAAAACTATAACAGGGTTCAAAAAAGTACTAAGTAAGTTCATGGAGGACAGGCCCATCAATGGCTATTAGCCAGGGTGGGCTGGGATGCAACCCCATGCTCTGAGTATCCTTAGCCTCTGTTTGCCAGAAGCTGGGAGTGGACGCCAGGGGATGGATCACTTGATCATTGCCTGTTCCGTTCATTATCGCTGAAGCACCTGGCATTGGTCACTGTCAAAAGACAGAATATTGGGGTAGATGCGTCATTGCTCTGCTCCAGTATGGCTAGTCTTATGTTTTTAATTAATGTGTAAACACAATGCAGTTTATGAACCTGAATTCTAAAATGACAGGCACTAGGAAACTAAAGATGTGATCATGAGTGATTTAGCCATGTTGTTAGCCTTCCATCATATAAATTAGTAATAACTGTCAAAAAGCATAAGCACAATGTAGTTACACCACAACTGGACTTTAATTACATAGATTAAAATATTCTGTGTACAAAAGCTGTCGTGGGAGTGGGGAGGAGTTTGGAACAATTCCCATTTTGGCACATTCCTGCCCTTGGAATTCCAGTGGCGCTGCACCATGCTTAAAATATGCATCAGATACAGTAATTGCAATCCGAGCAAAATGTTCATTTCAAATGTTCTGTAACTTGTTGGCTTTTCAGATAATGCTAATCATATAGTTCTGCTATAGCACCTTGGAAACATCATTAGATTGATACTTATGTATACTTATACATACATGCATCATCTCATACTTAAGTTGTAAGCTTGGGACCGGAACGGTCTTTTTGTCATGTGTTTGTACAGCACCTAGTACAATGTGGCCTTGGTCTATAACTGGAGCCTGTAGGCTCTACTGCAAATAACTAATACATATAATGATCATTGCTCTTTCTGGCCCATGTTACAGAGGTCCAGATCTTGCTGCCATTTGGGCAAGCATTTATTTCAGTTTCTCATTCTTTATATTGGTGAACCCTTCATCATGGGTTCCCTGCACAATGCGGGATCTAAACAATGCTTTGCGAACATTTGGATCTACATTCAGATCTTAACATTGCAGCTTCGGCCTGCCCCTATTTTTCATGCTGATACTCAGCATCTCTTAACAATTTGTCCCCCATACTAGTTGTTGCCAGTTAGAAATATTTCTTAATTGTGCTTAATTCCCCACTCACTTACAGTAAATTTACCATTCCCTCAAATAAACCTACTACTTTACACCGGTGCAACTAAGACAACAATCAGTCCCATTAAGTTTCACTGTTGCTTTTAGTAAGATGATATGTAAATACATATTTCTCTCCCTCATGTTGCCATGCATTTGAGGTCACAGAGTCCTTCCCTAAATGTGGCTTGTTTTGCTGTGAGTCAAGTTTCAAATGCTGGATGCTATCCAAGTCTGGCCCTTAGACTTAAGTAGAATCTTAGAAAAGATTAATAATCAATAATCAGTATCACCGATCACCAGGGAAAATGGAATTGTCGTGTCTCTTCCAGTCCCTTCTTTAATACACAATGTTTTTCCAAGGACAGACAGGGAAGCCCCAACTCTCACATGAGCCATATAAAATAGAGTAGAAAAAGCACTCAGAAAATACAGCGAGGGGAATGATCCTGCATTGGCTGTGAGGCTGTCCCTTTTTCATCTCCCAAATATGTCTGATTCTATGATTCACTTTGCATCCTGCCTAGGTCATTTTTGAGGCTGTTCGAGGATTAACAGAATATGGGGACACAGCTGTGGACAATGTGGGTGTCAGGAATGGGCCCTGTGGTAAGTCTATCCCTGTCTCAGTGATTCCCATCCCCTTTTTCCACTTGTTTACTATACCACTGTCCAGTAGAGAATAAGGACTCCCAAAGATCCAAACCTCATAAAAAGGAAGCCAAAAAATTCACAGTGATGCTCATCTAAATTTACTGGGTTTTTCCCTAGTTTCCACCCAAATCCCTCCTCGGCATCTCAATTTTGTTCCAAACGAGCTGCAAGGTTGTCTGAAAATCAGTCCATTTTCATGAAATTCAGCAAATGTAGGTTTGTAGTAAAACTCCAAAGCAGATGAATGTCACCTGTCTTGGGATTTCATTGAGCTCTCTACTCAACATGTAATAGTAAAACAAGAAAGAGCCAGAACTCTTCCCATAGGAGCTCTGCAAAACACACTGCACTGTCACATGACACAGAGAAATAACAACGAATCAGTAGAAAAGTACAGCCCAAACCCTCAGATCACAATATTATGGGCTTTGGGGAAATTTGATTCTGAACTGGAATTTGAGGCTGGTCCATATCTTTATAATCTATCAAAACAAAATCTCTGATCTGAACACACCTAAACTATGGAATAGTCCTGTTCTCCAAAGAGCTTGTAACCCCTCCGCGTGGAGTCATCTGCAAATTTTATAAGCATACTCTCCACTCCATTATCCAAGTCACTAATGAAAATATTGAATAGTACTGGGGCTGCAGGGCTGCTCTAGATACACCCTCCCAGTATGACAGTGAACCATTGATAATTACTCTTTGGGTACAGACTTTCAACCAGTTGTGCACCCATCTTATAGTAATCTTATCTAAAATGTTATGTATGTATGGAGCACTTTGAAAATATATAACACTGTATATCTCACTAATGAACATTATTATTACTACAGAAAATATGTGCAAGAAGATATTTCCAGGTCTTAACAGGGCCTGCTTCTCTCCTGTCTGTAAGATACTATAATGACAATAAAATGACTTAGATTTACAGTAGCATAAAACTTCAGGGCAGTTGAAGGACTAAATTCTGGGCACAGAAATCCTCAGACTGAATAGTTTTCTTTAAGATCCAATGAGTAGTGTTTAATACTCTTCAGGCTTATTGTTCTTGGACAGAAAGAGTCACTTTCTGGTTTCCCCTAGGCTGTGTAGCACACTATTCAGCCACTGGATGGAGCACAAATGTAATCTCAAGTGTTAGAACAAAAGCGCTGCTCTCACAGTGTTCGATTTTATGGCTACTAATGAAGATAAAGGTCATGCTAATCAGTAACACTGGTGAAAAAAAATTCTCCAAACATTTTTGATAGAAAACACCTATTTGACTAAGTTTGACTAAATGGAAATTTTTGTGGGAAAACATCATTTTCATTGAATTTTTTTCATGCAAAAAATTTGATTTCCCACCCAGCTGTACTAACTAGCCAGGGAGTTTTATTCTTGATTTTCATTTTTTTATTTATTGATTTTTTTTCCACTTTACATCTTTAGGAACAACATTTTTAAGCCCAGAGTCTCCTCTTCTTTCTGCACCAGCAGAACAAAATAACCTTAAAGCTCAAATAGAGGGATCTGGTGGTCGTGCAAAGTCAGTGTAACAGTTCCTAACTGGCCCTTCCCACTCTGTGGCTGGTGTAGTAAGCATTGTTAGAGGAAGAAGGTGTGGCCAGGCTCATCTGCCTTTTCTGGCTGCCCGTTGGGTTTGTTGGCAGCAGGCACAAATCAGAGCAGCCTAAAGCTGATCTATTGTATTCTGTGTGATCATACTGGTGCACTAAGGAAGTATAAAGGAGAGTTAAAGACACCTTTGCACATTCCCTCCTGCATTGCAGGGCTGCATTGTGTGTTCCTCAGCCACCAGCAAGGAAGACTCAAACTTGCCTCTAGTTTTGTTCACACAATTTTTGCATGCCTACCTGTTTACACAGTTTGTGTACAAGCAAATACAAAAAGTGTGTATGCTGAATTTGAGCTCAGGCTTGGAAATAAAGCATACTTTTTCAAAGAAGCCTCCACATGACCTATAAAATTGCTCATACAATTTTTCCTGATTCAGAGTTTGTACACAGAAATTAATCAGCTATTTACATGTGCAAACTATATTTGCATGTGCAAATTCACACTTGATGTGCAAAATGAGAGATTTCATAGGAGCAGCACGTTGGATGTGAAGAGCAGAAAGTGCAAAAAGCCAGGACACACAGATATGCTGAGACCATTTTGGAGTCAACTCTTTAAAATGTGTATTTGCATTTAAGGTTTAAGCTCTTTAGAGATCTGGAATAATTTCAGTCAAGACATACTATTCATACTATTCAACTAATAGTATTTGTTAGACCTCAAACTGGTCATTTTGTCCTCCCAGTAAATTATTTTTTTTTATAAACTATACTGCATAAAAAAGAACAAATTCAATTGAGTTTGATGGGTTTCCAGCTGCATGCACAACTAGTTTATAAGCATTAATTATCATTATTGTATACAATTATTCCATCATTTTTCAAAGATTTCCATCCTGGCCATATGCGGCTTCTATTTTTGTACCACAATTTACCACAAATAATGCTGTTTGTAGATTAAGTCAGATAGATGTCTAACTCACTGATTTGTGGACTCATTCAGGTATTTATGCATCTAAATGACCTATAGTGCATCCATAAATAATTGGGAAAGAGTATATTCAGTAAATTAGTTAATCAGTCAGCTGTAACTCACTCAAGATAGGTCTCCTGGTTGCATCATGTGTTATTGCATACTCAATTCACCATGGAATGATTTAAGGGTACTGCAACAAATGATGCTAGCTGACTTTCATTCAGCAAGGAAAAAGAGAAAGTGCTTGTGTGCTAAGAAGGATTTAGGTGTTTCTCTGTGTTGCTGCATTACCTTTGCAATTCCAGAGGTTTAAATACAAATGTTACTAGGTCACCAATGGAATGAGTTTAATGTTGGCCACCTGGTCACATTGGCCTTAGTGGCGCCTATCACACAAGGACAACACGCTATAACATCCATTTTAGGAGAAGTCCAGCTGCTAGAAGCTAGAATGTGTAGCAGGCAGGAAGATGTAAGCATCAGCAGAGCTTGTTAAGACACCTTGCATGGTGCCTTCACTTGTTCTGTCTGTCACGAGGCAGCTCTTTCAGCTCTCGTTTTCACACAAAGTAAATATCATTTTGGGGAAATAAAGAAACCCACTGACTAGAAAATTGTAACGGTGTCAATATTGCTACCACTGTGCTGCATCTGCTGCCAGGCCTGTGATTCCCAGCACTGCCAACACCTTCAGATGATATGACCTTCACAGATAAACCAGAAGAAGCCACACATCCAACTGCAAATACATTTCCAGCAAAGGAGGTACAGGCTTTGGCAGGCTCAGTGGCTATTACCCAGCCAACAATCAGACACACTTCTCTAAAAACTCTTTTACTTACACCAGTTTTGCACTGGGACAGTTCCATTGGCTCCAGCAGAAATATTCCTGATTTACAGTGGTGTAAGGGAGAGGAGAATGAAGCCTGGTGTTTTTTGGTGAACGGGTACAGTGATGATTCTGTAGTTATAATTCATTGGCTTGGGTGATCTTTTTTAGTGATGGTGCCATCTACCACTCCCCCAGCATCATCAACTGCAACAACGGAATCTGCTTTGCCAGTGATAACAGGTAATTGTTATTCATATACACATACTAGCCAAATAAACAGCAAGAGGAATTCTGGTTTTATTCCTAGCTCTGCAACTGATTTGATTTACTTAATCTCTCCTTGCTTCAGCATCCCCATCTGTAAAGTGGGGAGAAAAATATTTCCCTACCACGCAGGGGTGTTTTAGGGCTTACTTTGTTAATGTTGTTGCGCACTTTGAGACCTTTAAATTAAGGGTGCTGTAGAAGTGCAGAGCATGGTCCTTGCATGGATGAGGAGCACTCCAGAGTCAAAGGTGTTCAGATGTGTCAGCTGAACACGCCTGTGTATTAATGCAGCTATATTCCATTCTTCATCTGCAGAGGCAACCTGCAGTGTGCATAGTGACCCCCACTATTACACTTTTGACAAGCAGTCTCACACGTTCATGGGAAATTGCACCTACACCCTGTCCAAGCTGTGTGATGGGAACAGCACGCTGCCCTACTTCAATGTGGAAGCAGCAAACGAACACAGAGGAGGCAACACTCGCGTGTCCTATGTCCAATATGTGGATGTTGATGTTTATGACTACAGGATAACTCTGGGTAAAAACAGGGTTGTTAAGGTAAGAACTGGGGTCTAAAAATGAAAGTCAGGATCTCTCCATTTTACCTGCTGACTATATTTTTAGACTCTTATCATGAATGTAGAATTGTGTTTATGGTACAAATCACAGGTAAACGTACAATTTAAAAAAAAGCAATACTAACCTTCCCTCGAAGTGCCCCGCCTAAGAGATACCATTTAATGTATTTTCTCCCAGTTAGTAGGGTAGTCAGATATCTCCAGATTAATGACGGCATAAATGTCTAGAGAGAGAGAATAATAATTACAAATTCAAAAACTACTTAAAGACACTGGGCCTCTAAGAGGTCTCAGCATAAAATTCATGGCCCAAGGGAAGTGTGAGCTATGGTAGCATTAAGCCACATTTGCACCCCACAATCCCAGGCTGTTCCATGGGCTAGAGACATGCTTAAAGGGCCCTGAAAAAAGTGTGTGGGGAAAGGGGGTTCTATCATAATTCTAGCCAAAATAATTTTTCAGACTTTGGTAAGACAGTGCTTAAAGTTTGCCCCCCAGTGACCCTACTCAAATTATGTATTTGTTTGGCCAGTTCTGTGACCCTGTCCACTTTAAGTACTGGTTAGAGAGGCCCCCAGCATAACTTAGCCTGGGAAAGGGGGTGGAGGGGCTGACTGAATTACAACAGCATCCCTGGGCTGTTCTATGGACAGCAGAACTGCACGCTGTATCCCACACACAATTAGCCCCTTCTACCCCCACCCTTGGCACCCTCCCTAAGCTGGGGCATCCAAGAGGATACTTGAAGGACAACATCCTTACAGCTGTCTACCCCAGTGCCTGTGCTTGCATCCCCTCAAGCCAAGACATGGCTGCAAGGGTTCTTCTGCTCTAGCACCTCTCTGCCATCCTGGTTCAGCAGCTTCCATGGCCTAGCCCTCCCACCAGGTCACCTTTCCGGTCAGTCCACTTCCAGGGTCACTACAGTCCAACTAGAAGTTCAACCACACATCCAAACAAACTCTTCAGCTGCCCCTCTTGGGCTACTCTTCAGCCCCCCTTCTGGGCTCAGTTCTCAGCCCATTCTGGGTTAACTTTTCCACAGATCCCTACTCCCGGGCCCTGCAGTGTTCTCCTTTGCTCTCTTAGATAATCTCTGCCGCCCAGGCCTTTCTCCCTGGAGGCCCTCGCAGGTTCCCCCTGCCTTTCCTCCGGGGGTCTCTGGCAGCTTCTCTAGGACCCTCTCTGCTCCTTACAGACTTCATGCAGGGCCCCACCATGGGAGCCCAGGGTTGCCACCTCTGAGGTCCAAAGAAACCAGAACATGGAGATGGGCAGCCTGGGCCAGCAAGGGGTGAGCAGGGCTTGGTGCCACTTGCTCCCTCCTTGCCCTGTTTAAAATGCTGATGCACTACAGAGTGAGAGCAGAGAGTGCCGAGCCAGCAATGGGCCCCGCTTTTCCTTCACAGAGCCACTGAAGGACCCCCCCATTTCTGGGCCCAGCCTCGCTTTCACCCACAGAGTCACTGACAGACCTCACATCTACAGGCCCGGCCCCGCTTTCCCCATCCAGCCACTGACAAACCTAACATCTCTGGGCCCGGCCCCACTTTCCCCACCGAGCTACTGACAGACCTGATGTCTCTGGGCCCGTCCCCGCTTTCCCCACCGAGTCACTGATAGACCTGACGTCTCCGGGCCCAGCCCTGCTTTCCCCTGCCGAGCTCTGCCCAGACCAGCCCTGCTTTCCCCACTGAGCACAGACCTCAAGTCTCCGGGCCCATTCCCATTTTCCCCCGCCGAGCCACCGATAGACCTCACATCTACAGGCTTGGCCCCGCTTTCCTCTGCTGAGCCACTGACAGACCTCACGTCTCTGAGCCCAGCCCCGCTTTCTGTCACTGAGCTACTGACAGACCTCACGTCTCTGTGCCCAGCCCCACTTTCCCCACCAAGCCACTGACAGACCTGATGTCTCCGGGCCTGGCCCCGCTTTCCCCACCGAGCTACTGACAGACCTGACGTCTCTGAGCCCAGCCCCGCTTTCCCCACCAAGCCACTGACAGACCTCACGTCTCTGTGCCCAGCCCCACTTTCCCTGCTGAGCCACTGACAGACCTCACATCTCCAGGCCTGGCCACGCTTTCCCCACCGAGCTACTGACAGACCTGACGTCTCTGAGCCCAGCCCCGCTTTCTGTCACTGAGCTACTGACAGACCTCACGTCTCAGGGCCCAGACCCACTTTCCCTGCTGAGCCACTGACAGACCTCATGTCTCCAGGCCCAGCCCCACTTCCTCCGCTGAGCCTGCTATGGACTCCACGTCCCAAAGCAGGGCCCCGCTTTCCCCTACCCCACGAAGCTAACACCAGGCCCCTCATTTCTGCTCCTTTGCCCCAGGCCCACGGAGAATGCCTGGGTGTCCTTATTCCTGGCCTCCCGCACAGGCAATACCCCCCATCCTGCTCCAAGGCAGGCCGTCTCTCTTCCGCCACAATGCACAGACTCAGCCAGGGTCCAAACCGAGGGCGGCCCCCACATGGAGGGGAACCCGGAGGGAAAGGTGAGCCAAGGGCTGGAGAACAGGAGGTGACAAAACTCAGGACATTTAATGTCGAGCGGAGACTTCAGAATACCCAAGATGGCTACCTCTAAAAAGGGACAATCCTGGGAAAACCTGGGTAGTTCGCAGCCATACAGGATCCTCACTTGCCTCTGGTAATTCCCCTTTCACTGAGTGCTCTCACCCTTTTTATGAGGCCCAGGTGTTCATCAGGCTATCACCTCACCCTATTAGTCCTGGCCCCTCAGGCCGGGAGGCAGCTCATTATGGCACAGGTGGGGCTGCCCCATTTCCCTTTAAAGGGTACATTTACACTGCATTAAAATACCTGTGGCACTGAGTCTGAGCCCGGGTCAGCTGACTCGGGCTCGGCCCGCGGGGCTAAAAATAGAAGTGTAGACATTTGGGATTAGGTTCAGGACACCCTCTCAGAGCTCAGACTCCAGCCCACGCCTGAACATCTATGCTGTCATTTTTTAGCCCTGCTCCATGAGCCCCCAAGTCTGAGTTAGGTGACCCGGACCAGCTGCACCTGTGCTGCAAGGTCTTTAATATTGTAGCATTGAAATACCCAAAAGGCCAGTCATCCTGTGACAGGCCCCTTTATACCATTTCAGAATCTTAACCCAGTGTAAGGGGGCCGGGGTAGGGATGAAGATCTCACTAATTGTAAATTTGACTCAAAACTTGCAACAAAGAATAGGTCACATTCATTTATTAAATAGCTTCTTATGAAAAAGTAATACAGTAATATATGTGACAAGCAAACAAAGGTTTAAATGTACAGTGAGACCTTTCCAGTCTCATATAAGGAACACAAATGAATATTGTTACACATACTTCTCCAGCTGCTTCTCTTCTTGTGCCTTCCTCCTTCCTTTCTTTACTGATTTCATATATGATGATGATGTTTAGATAAAGTAAAATTAATTGAAGACCCCTTTTTATGCTTTTATGTAGATTTCTTTAATTAGCAGGTAAAATGAATGGACAGGTGTAAAATATATATTTTAATTTTATTGACTTTTGCAGCTTTTACTTGGTTTCTCTTGTTCTTTGCTGATTGCACTTCCTGACATTTCATATATATTTAAATATTTAAAGAAAATTAAAGATTTTTTTTAAATCATCATGTTCTGAAACTTCATCCTAGGCCTCAGATTTTAAAGAACCTTATACCATAAACTTGCTCATTCAGAATGTGAACATGAGCCTATAATTAGTTAATATTTGCACAGCACTTTGTGGTATGTCTACACTGCAATTAAACACCCACAGCTGGTCCATGTCAGCGGACTTGGGCTTGCGGGGTTCAGGCTACAAGGCTATAAAAGATGTCGGGCTCTTGGTCCTTTCCCCCTCACAGGGTCCTAGAGCCTGAGCCCGGACATCTACACTGCAATTTTACAGGCTAGTAGCCCAAGCCCCACAAGCCCAAGTCAGTTGACATGGCCAATTGCATGTCTTTAATTGCAGTGTAGACATACCTGAATGTGCACAATGCTGAGTAAGTGGTATACAGGCATTCAAGGAGCACAGCATAAGTATCTACTGTAGTCAGATATTATAACTAGTTATGTGCCCACAAATGCCTGTTTTCTCACATAAGCAGATTCAGTGCCTGCAAGTGGATGTGTGAGCTAAATTAGGAGGTACAGCTTTGGAGGCTGTATAAAAGACTTGTCCCTTTAAAGACAAATAATGAAGCCTTTTTGTTTCTTGTGCATGCAGGTGAACGGAGCCATTCAGGTACTTCCTGTGGTCCTGCCATCAGGTGTAAATATTTTCTTCAGTGGACAGTACGTCATGGTTACTACTGCCTTTGGGCTGAGAGTTAAGTTCAATGGAGATCATAGAGCTGAAGTGATTCTTCCCAGTATATACAAATCTAAAGTCTGTGGAATGTGTGGAAATTACAACGGGAACAAAACAGATGACTTTCTTAACCCAGATGGAGAGATGGAAGCAAATTCGGTCAGCTTGGGCAACAGCTGGCAGATTTATAATGACTCCAGGTAGGACTCCAAGCATTACGCTAGTCCTTAGCGGATTGATATGTAATGAGTAGGTACTTTAAGTGCTTTTTAATTGTGATACAAAAATGTCCAGATTTTCTGGATGAAAACTAATCATATCAATGCTCATATTGTTCATGTAATTGTGAAGTTTCACAGCTGTTTTGATTGGGACACAGAAAGAGTGAATTTGAACAAAAATATCACAAAGATCTAAATTGGGTCTGTAAGTATTTTTTATTATTATTAATTAGAAATATGAAATTTGAAAACGTTTTTGTCTTTTATGTGCCCTATCTGTGTGTCTTTCGTGTGCAAAATCTGTTTGTAAACCCTTATCAAATCAAAATAGATTGTAACTAAGACATTGAAAGGCACTAGGGCTATGTCTAAGTTGAATTCCCAGTGTATTTTTTCCCCATTTGTTTCATACCCAAAATTAGCAGAAACACTTTTTCTTAAAAACATTTCATGCTTGGACAGGAATAAGGCCTGGAATGTTACTAAATACGTTATGCAAAACATCTTGGGCTTCAAAAACAGCAAGGAGTCTGGTGGCACCTTAAAGACTAACAGATTTATTTGGGCATAAGCTTTCGTGGGTAAAAACCTCACTTCTTCAGATGCATGCAAACTTCATTAGTGAATTTCTCTGCATCTTTTTTCCTCCTAGCTGTGTCCCAGATCTTGGCCATACCCCAAACTGCTCAGATGATGAAAAACATTTAATCCAAAGCAACAAGTACTGCGGGCTGATCACAGATCCAAGTGGCCCGTTCTGGCAGTGCCACTCAGTAGCTGATCCATTGATTTATTTTGAAGACTGCCTGTATGATCTGTGTGAACTTCATTTGAACAATGCAGCCCTCTGCAATAACCTACAGTCATATGCTGACGTGTGCCAAGCTGCAGGCATTGTTGTAGGAACATGGAGAAATGAAACATTCTGCCGTACGTACCAAAGCTGACTTTAGATTATTATAGGTGGGGTTGGTAGCACTCTCTATTATTAAAGTTGCCTGACATTTCCCATTATAAGTCCTTATTTTCAATTGCTTATAACTTTGTCAAACTTTAACCATGTGGGCTGAAATTTTCCATGCTGGGTGTCTGTCTCAGGCTGAATTTTCCTGGGAAAAACTTCAGCCACAGTGGTTCTTCCGTTTCTGAGAAGGAGGCTAGGAAAAAGATATGTTGTTTTGCCTGTATTAAAAGATTTTAAAGACTTCTTTGAAATGTTCTAGCACCCCCATGCTTTGAAGTGGGAACTTGAAATGTGGCAGGGCATGGCCTTTGGTCTGCAGTGTGCCTTTTGCAGTCCCTGTGAAAATCTGCCCAAATATGGCCAAGTCAGGAAGCCTTTGAAAAATTGCATTTCGCATATGCTCAGTAGAGACTTGTTAGAGCTTAACAGCTAAACTCTCTGATGCCACTGTCCTCACTAAGCCTGCTCCAGTCCCTCACAGCTCCCTGTGCTGACCAAACGGCGCATGCATCCTCCCCACAGAGAAAGCAAGCATGTGCCATCTCTTCACAGCTCCTGTAAGAGCAGCTAAGCAGGCTTCTGCCCAGAACTGCAGAGGTGAAGCTGGACTTTCCCTGTAATGGCTGCTCTGAACCGGGGCCAGGCTGGGTAACAGAACTGAGAGCAAGGAGTCGGTCTCTCCTGTGCTCTCTGATACCCCCTTCCCCCATTTGGCCCAGGCAGCATGGAGGAGGATGCTGCTTGATTCAAATGCAAAGCAAGAGCTGGACCATGGGAGGGAAAGGTGTAGATTGGGACCAGGACAAGGTGTTGAGAGGGGGGAACTGGAACTGGCTGGGCAAGGAGTCTGGGACTAGGAATGAGGAAAGACTGAGAGTTGGGGATAGGGAAGAGAGAGAACTGGGACAGTGATGGGCTGGAGGGGACATGACAGCAGGAGCCAGGCTTCGGGGTAGCGGACAGAAGAGTCCCACTAGAGCACACTCCCTATCCAAGCCTGGAATGGAACCCAAGATCCTAAGTCTCACCATTCCTCTGTTGTCAGCAAATATCAGTGAAACCCACTGGCAAAGTGTGTGTTTCATGCCCTGCTAGTGCTGGTCCTGCCTGTGCACTGAATGAGGCAGAGGTCCTGCAGAAAAAAATAGTACATCATCATGTAACTAAAGACGCTATCATAATGCATACATACAAGGGGGCCGAATTAAGGTTACATGGGCAACCTTAATTCTGGCATTTCTTAACCTTTGATTGCTTGACTTTACAATTTTAATAAAGTTCTTTCAACATAATTAGGTGTGGGGAAGTGAGTGGTGGTGGTGGTGAGGGTTTAATATATGTATATAACCAGATATAATCTATAGTAGAACCACTACTCTCTCTTGATTTTTTTTTTTAGTGACATTATTCAGGAGTTTGGGAAGGAAGAAAAATATAAACTAAGTGATTAACAGTAATAATAAATAGAAAAATCACATTGATATAGTCCTGCCACCTAAACGTTCTACCTGTTGAGTATCCAAGAAGAGCAGTTTGTTTTTTCCCTTAACTCAGTTATATTCAATGGAAGTTTCCCTATAATATTCTGCAGGAAAGATGGACTTTTCTTGTGGTCAAAAGGCTAAACTAAAAGTGAACTGGGAGTTTTGATGGAGGATAAAAACCTGACTAATGTCTTCGGTATTTGGCCCAAAATACTTTTAAAAGGAACAAAATATATTATTGCAAATCAGTAGTTAAAAGGATTAATGTAGATGCTTTTTCAATTTACAGCACTGATCTGTCCAGCCAACAGTCACTATGAAGCATGCACGGCAGCCTGCCCTGCCACCTGTGTCAACCCGATGGCTCCTGCCAGCTGCAGCCTGCCGTGTGTGGAAGGATGCGTGTGCGACAGCGGCTATCTCCTCTACAACGATGGCTGTGTCCCCCGCAGTCAGTGCGGGTGCTGGCACAATGGCAAACACTACCCTGTTGGCGCTGAATTCTGGACCGATGACACCTGCTCCTCTAAATGCACATGTCCCTCTCGGGGGAGCAAAGTAACCTGCTCTAACGCAGCCTGCCCAGCCGATCATTACTGTGGGGTTCAGAACGGAGAACCTGGCTGCTACCGTGAGACTTACGGGATCTGCC